TCATTGCGTAATCTATGATAGTATCTCTGGAGCAAAATCTAGGTTTTGCATGCCTTTTATTTGTATTATTCGATGATCGGTTGCTTTGGTGATCCGTAAGTGCCCATGGCTTCAATCGGTTGGTATGTATACGAAAAAAAGCTCGACTATGCCAAGCTCAAGCTCGTGCCTATAACTGATATTGTCCTGAACCTTAAACTAAGTCCTTAATCAGGTAATGGCTTCTCATAGTGATGTAAGTAGAAGCTACAGTCACGGTTTAGGTTTGGCCAAGTCTTTCAAGTATTTGGCAATCTTATGGTCTTTTTTTGTCAATCATAAAAATGCTTTGGCCTGGTTGAGCCCGTGCGTACAACTGATGCTACCCATGACCTTAGAAATAAAATTTTAAATCATGCAATGTCCTTCTAGGATGGTGACAATGGAGTTTGCATGTGCAATCTTGACTAGACCAAGCATCGATATTGTCATGCCATTATTTCCTATTGGATGACAAGAGTATAGTCTCGTGGCCCTTGCTTCTATTTTTCCTATGTCAAGTGATTTAAGTGATTGTGGCTTGCCTTGTATATCTTTTCCTCTACTCACTTATTGAATAATCGATAGGGTGGATTGTGAATCAGTGTGTGTGGATACTGTCACTTATACACAATGGGCAGTGATTATTGACATCAGAGTATCAACACATCTTACAATTTGGGTTGAGACTAAGAAGAATTTATTCAAAAATAAAATAGACCTATCCTTGGTCCAAATTCACTAAATAAATGTAAAAATAAGGTAGGCTAAAATATACAGGTTATGTTCACACTAGTTGAAAAAAGAAAGCATGAAGATGGATGGGATTATGATCAGATCCATGGATGAACCTAGATACTAATATTAAGCACATTATCAATGTGCAATGCTATAATATGCAAGAGTAAATAGGCAGCTAATTGTATTCACATACAAATCCATGATTTTAGGTACTATTTTAGCAAAACAAGATTAAAGGCAATCCTAATAATTTAGCAATCCAAAAAAAAAAAAAGGCAATCTTTAAAGCTCTTATACTTAGAGGGATTTTTTTAGCTTATTTATTTTCTATTATTCTTTGTAAAAGGCATAATAGAGTTTTTGTTTTATCCTTAAGCAATCTTTATATTATTTTCAAGTTTTGTATCTTTTAGGTGGATTTTATAGAGTAATGAACTTTTATAATTTTGTATCTTTGATTAGAATTCTTAGGATAGTGTATTTGTATCCCTAAATATCTAGTATTTGTGGTAAACTTCTATCATTTTCATCCAATAACAATATTTTATTATTATTTAAATTCTTGTGAGTTATTTTTTTCGTGAGTTTTTCTATTTGTAATTAATCTCCAACATCTTAACCATCAATTTTCAGCATCAATGGTTTACAAGTGAAGAAGCATATCCTATTTATAAGCATATGTTTAGCTAAGAAGGTAATGGAGATTATTGGGTCTTTTTCTAATTTAAATTTTGAGAGATAAGTTTATTTTGATCTTTAAAGAAGTTAGCCAAACATGAGACTCTTGCATTATAAAGTGTCTTAGTCGAATGGGAGTTAATGTATCTTGCAATGTCCTTATTATCTTGAATTCAAATGGAGTTTCTGCTAAAGCAAAATTTTAATATTAATATTCTTTAGTTGCTTATCTTGAATTCAAACTCTTTTGGATTAAAAATCCTTGTTGCATCATAACTCTATCTGATCCTTCTGTGAGGTGTTCTTATGGGAACAAAACTCTTTTAAGATAAAAAAGAGTTATTCTCTTATTAAATCTCTCTTTTTGGCTAAAAATATTGAAGAGCCTTGTCCAAGTATACTTCTTCATTTACCAATTTGCATGTAGGAATTCTCTTGAATATAAGATAGTCAAATAGTAGAGTTATAGTGCAAATAAGATTTGGCTTAATCTTTTTCTTACTTGGTTAAACATAGGCTTGTCCAACTTTTGCATGGAATTCGGATGAAGTTCATGTTCGATAGCTTAAAACCTAAAGATCAAGAAAACAAATACATTAAATACGCTAAATTCTATCAAATTTTAGAATTTTTTGACTAAAAAGAACTTGTAAAACACTATATATTTTACTGTTATCAAATACTTATAAAGCAAGATTGACTAATACTCTTTCAAATCATTGTCATTTTACAAAATGCAAATAAAAAACCTAATAATCTTTATTCTTATCAAAACCTCTTTAAACAAATCAAACCTATATATTAAAGATACAATCTTTGAAACCTATTTATATAAAAACCATCATCAAATTAAAAATCCAAAACTAGAAACCCATAAGAAAGCGTAATTTTTTTTAAAAGACTTGTTTTAACTTTTGAGTTTCCTTTCTCTGTTTGAGAGAGCATCTTGAGTTAGACTTTCAACACTTACAAGTTCAATTCTATCATTTAAGTGACATTACTCAATGTTCTTAAATCTTAGATTCTCTAGTCTCTAATGGGTAGAGGATGAAGAGATTTTTCCTTTTCATTTCTATCTTTACTTATTTTCTCTCTTTTTTTCTCTTGATTTGTGATTTTTTTCGTATTTCATTTTTGTAATTATGATAGTTAATTAATGTATTATTGGTTAGGTTATTTTGACTTTTAATTTAAGTGTAAGTGAAAGATGATGATATTTTTTTAATGAGATTAATTTTTTTAATTTTGGAAATAAAAAAAATAGAGAAAATTGGTTTTTTTATTTTAAAAGGCAAAAAAAAAAAAATGAAGAGTAAAGAAAAAATTACACGTTACAAGTTAAGACAAAATATAGTTAACAATATTAGGAATAAAAGCTAAAGAAATTAAGAAAGATAAATAGTACTTTCATTTTAACCTCAATCATATAATATATTATGAAATTTATAAATTCTTATAAACATAAGTCATTTGCTTAGCATGTTAATTTTATTAAAATAATAAAATTTTTAAAATTTTATTAGTTTATTTAGATAAATTTTTAAATTTTTATTATATTTAAATAAAATTTTAATCTTTGATTTATATTAAATTTTCAATTTTCAATTTATAAAAAATTTTGAATCTTTAATTTATATTTAAATAAACTCTTAACATAAATTAATATTTTATTTAAAATAAAATTTATTTGAATACAATAAAAAAATTTATTAAAAAACATTAAAAGCATAAAAAATAGTTCATGTGAATTTTTTAGTATTTTATTTTATTTTATTTTTAAATATTTTCTAGTTGCAATTTTGGTTAAAAGTAAAAATGTAAAATAAAGAGAAAAAAAAGGAAAAATCGTGAGTGTGGGGTAGGCAAACTGGAAACCCGTAGGGACAGGACTCAGCTGAAAGTGGCTGGATCTGGAATTTTATGAGAGATTGGAAATTTGAATTGAAATCCTAGATTTGTTGGTTGTAACTGCAAGTGAATAGTAGGGGAGTTATTTTACTATTTTACAATTAGATCAGATCGGGAAGAAAATGTTGTGGCTAAGGGCATTTTTGAGCGACCAATGAGAAGATTGTGAAGATAGCAGTGCATTCGACACATCCATGGTTGGTAACCGCCAATGCCTCTAATTACGTCTCCGTATGGAACTGGGAGCCTCACCAGGTCATTTAGGTTGACTAGAGACGTTTTATTGGTGCCAAATTGGAGAAGCTTGCTGAGGATGAATCTGGTTCGCAATCTATTTCTATTTGGAATTTTCATCTTTTTTTTTTGGGTTTGATTTGACAAAATTTTGACTTCACAATGCCTAAAGGGAAACCTATAGAGGCCATCTGTTGAGGAAGGTAATTAATAAGGAATAGTGCATTTTTAGCCATTTTTTTCCTTTCTTCCAATAAAAAATAAAAATGTGAATCTGAAATGTCAACCTTTCTTTTTTGATGAATTGTTAAAAATGTTAAGCATGTGAGCTTTTTCGATGATGACGTGCTATTTTGGCAACTTTGGCGTACCCGTTATACGATTGTGGAGGCTCATTCTATTGTCAATCTTTGAAAAGTAGAAATTATAGTAATAATTTTCATAAACATCTCCCTTAATGACAAGAAGTTTTATGATTTAATGGAAAAGTTAAAAGATTTTCTTTTTGAAAAAACAGATATGATTTTAGCCCTTAACCATGAAAACGATGTGTAAAAGGTGAAAATGACCTTATAAAATTGAAAGCTCTAAAGGTTGTGCTAAAGATGAATCGGGGATTGTTAGTATAAAAGCTTCAAGCTAATATTATAGAAAATTTGTGTTTAACAAACTATTAAAAATTTATATATTTTTGTTGATATAAAAATATAAAAAATATTTTTTTAATTTTATTAAATTTATTTATAATTTTATTAAAATTTTAGATTATATTATTTTTATATTTTTTATTTATATCATTTTTATATGATATTATCATATCATTTTTATATGATATTATAATATCATATTTGAAATTATTATATCTAATTATTTGGATATAAATCCAGAATTATAGGCAATTGTACCAGTTTTGGGCTGAAGGTTAATACGGCAAATCCATGAACCTTGGGCTAAACCACCACAAAATTGAAATCTTAGCCTGTAATAATCCTATTCCTATTATATAGTAATCAATGATATAATATCAAAGCTTAGGCATATAATTATTTATTTATTGTAATTATTATTTATAATTTAGTATTAATGCTTGTAATAATTAATTGAAATCAGTTCTCGATTGGGACCCGTTTCCAATTCTCAATATTTCTGCCCAGAGAATAATTGAGGGGACAAGACAAGTCGCACTTTATAACTTTTTCTTTGTCATGACTTTAAAAAACGACATCGTTTAAATCAAACCATTAATTCGGCACCGTTTTGGACAAGTCTCCGATTCACACTCCTTTCCTCACGCTCACACCAACAAAGGCTCTGAACTCAAAATTCAAAGAACAGAAAATCGCTCAAAGCTAAGCACCCGAACCCAAAAGCCCCAACTGTACAAAATCGGCAAGGATCTGAGCGACGAGCAAGTCTCATCAATGAAGGAGGCTTTCACTCTCTTCGACACCGACGGCGACGGAAAGATCGATCCATCGGAGCTAGGGATCCTAATGAGGTCTTTCGGAGGAAATCCAACCCAAGCCCAACTCAAAGCTATAGTCGCCGAAGAGAAGCTAACTTCGCCGTTTGACTTCCTTCGGTTTTTGGATCTCATGGCCAAGCACATGAAACCTGAGCCGTTCGATAGGCAGCTACGCGATGCGTTCAAGGTGCTGGATAAGGATTCGACTGGGTTTGTCTCCGTGGCGAATTTGAGGCATATATTGACTAGCATTAGGGAGAAGCTGGAGCCGTCTGAGTTCGGTGAGTGGATCAGGGAAGTGGATGTCGGGTCAGATGGGAAGATCCGTTACGAGGAATTTATTGCCAGGATGGTTGCTAAGTGAGAAAAAGGTCATTGCTTGTTTTGTTTGTTCTTTGTTTTTGAAGAAAAGTTTTTTCTTTTTCTCTTCTGAGGGGAATTAGGGTTTGTTTGGATTTGATGTGGTAGAGGATAATGTTATGTTTATTTCATGGAATTGTTGGAAGTAATGCTAACTCTCTTTCTTAGAGACTTTGATTAAGGTGTAGTTATGTAATTTATATTAATATTCTTTGCTTAGTTTTATTTTGCATTAGAAATTTGCGCTTTCATGTTTTTGATGAATTTGTTCCAACAATTTCTTGTTTGGTCCTTTGAATTCTTTATGCAAGGTTGCGTTTTTATGCCTCTAAAATTTCATGATTAACTTCTATGTAGGGAATCTTTGTTACATTTTTATTTTCAAATTTTCAGTTATCAAGATGGATCCAAGTTAGGACCCAATTGTTTTGTTTCTATAATTTTTGGAAACCCGCAGGGACAGGACTCAGCTGAGAGTGGCTGGATCTGGAATTCTGGGGGAGATTTGAAGTTTGAATTGAGATCCTAGATTTGTTGGTCGCAGCTGCAAGTGAATGATAGATGAGTTGTTTTACTGTTTTAGAATTAGATCAGATGGGGGAGAAATGCTGCAACTGAGGGCATTTCGAGCGACCAATGAGAAGATTGCGAAGATAGCGGTGCATTTGACGCATCCATGGTTGGTAACCGCCAATGCCTCTGATTGCGTCTCCGTATGGAGCTGGGAGCCTCACCAGGTCATTTAGGTTGACTAGAGACGTCTTATTGGTGCCAAATTGGAAAAGCTTGCTGAGGACGAATCTGGTTCGCAATCTATTTCTATTTGGAATTTTCATCTTTCTTTTGGGTTTGATTTGGTTTGATTTGACAAAAATTTGACTTCACAGTGCCCAAAGGGAAACCTATAGAGGCCATCTGCGGAGGGAGGTAATTAATAAGGAGTAGTGCATTTTTAGCCCTCTTTCTCCTTTCTTCAAATCGAAAATTTAAATGTGAATTTGAAATGTCGACCTTTCTCTTTTGATTAATTGTTAAAAGTGTTAAGCAGGTGAGCTTTTTTGATGATGATGTGCAGTTTTGGCAACTTTGGCGTAACCATTCTGCGGTTGCTGAGGCTCCTTCTACTGTCAATCAACTTACTTTTGCTTTTGCCTCTCCGGCTCCATCAACAAAAGGACGGCATTTTCTTGTCATCTGCTGTGAAAATAAAGACATCTTTTCGGACTTGGTTAGCATGCGTGGCCGTGATGTACCCAAACAAGAGCTTGACAACAAGTTGCTTCTCTGGTCAGTGATCTTTCACTTTGCTCACTTTTGAAATATCAATTTCATCACCATATTTTATGCATTCATATATTTATTATTGTGGAAAAGAAAATGCACTCCTTTATGTCATATCATTTGCTGAGCCCAAATTCCACAATTGAAGCTTCCTATTCCATGTTGTCTGTTGGCTATAACTGCCAATGCTTTCATCTTTTCATATCCTTGGATGACTTGCATAGCATTTTGATTTCATTTGTGTGCCTCCCCATTTTTGAGTTTTGCTGCTGCCGCTCTCTAATTTCTGACTACTTTTTCTTATCATTGAAAACAATAATCTTGTAGCGGGCATGAGGTGACCTTGTTGATTTGCCTTCTTCAATTAAAGCGCCTCATACCCTGTCAAGCAAGGTGCTTTTTGTTAAGTGCATGCCTTTTGTGTGTAGAAAGGAAAGGGCACATAAAAGGCCTGCTGCACCCTTTTGGTCCTTATGGTTTTTAATCTCCTTTATTAGCTATGTTTTAGTAGCTAGAAAAGGTCAGTATCAATCCTTGGGGAATATAGTCCACTCACAATCTTTTGTTGAAATTGTAAGTCAAGGAAACATCAAGCTACTATGTGATGACAACTTTTAATTATTTATGATAATTATGGATCTTCAGAACTAATCAATTTAATGAGCAAATTTTTAATATTTATTAACAAACTCACAGATTTTAAGATTATTGCATATGGTACATAGATTTATTTTTTGTTTTATATATATTTTGGGTGCTTTTTACAAATTAGTGTCACAGACTTAGGCAAGTACTATTTTTCTCTTTGGGAGAGTAGGATTCAAGTTAGATATTTGTAAACTTAATGAATTATAGACCACTTGATAATTTTACTTTTAGGGAATTGGCTATTGGATTTAATAGTCTAATCATGCTTATTACATGTGCCAATTTTTAAGAGAAACTGGTGTTTGTTATAGTTTCTTTTTAAATATTACTTTTAACTGTGTATTTAAGGGTTGAAACTGTTGTGATTTTATAAAATAGTTAGAGATCCTCAACCAGTTTGAAACTTGACATGCATTATTTGCATGATAAAATATTGAATCCAATGGCTGGTTTAATCAATTATGAGTTGTGGAAAAAATATCAAGTTATAACAATTGGAAATTAACAAAAACAAAAGCTTGCCTTGGTCGCATATTTGGTCTTCTTTGAATGATGTATTTATCATATATAACCTACTTAAAACACAAAACTTCAGGTAATAAACCATGAAAGTTAAGTCATCATCATACTGTATTTCCAGGTCTCCTTCACTTCCATTTCCATTGGATTGATAATCTTCCTCTCTATCTTTGCAAATTCGATAATTTTCTACATTGTCGCCTTTAGTATCTTTCTGAAGTCATATTGGGACACCCCAGTGGTTAGAACTGGAAACTCTAACTTGAACATTTTGGGTTTGAATTTTGGGATGGGAGGGGCTACCTCCTAATTGTAGCTCAAAATCATTTGTGCCATAAAAAACAAATGAAGCCTCTAATCATGATTTTAGTTTTATCTATTATTCCTTCTTTTACACCAAGTCCCAATAATGCTTGTTGCTATACCATATTCAAGCATCATCACAAAACACCAATTATTCTTTTACAAAATCTTTCTAATTAAACCATTCATTACTTTGAGGGTGAAATACAAAAATCCCCCTTCCAAATTAATAAAAGTACACTTAAACCCCCTTATATTTTAAAATGACCTTTTAACCCCCTTTTTTAAAGCTGTTAGTTAATCTGTTAAACCAACCAAATCCCACTTCCGTTTTGGCTAGGCAGACCTTTATGGAAAAAAATTGCCCCTTTCTTAATTTTTTTTCCTCCTTCCCTAACAGTAAGCATTGCTTTTTTTCTCTTTTTCTGGTTTTTGGATTGTTGAGTCTTTCATCCTCATCCACATAATCACCTCCCTCCCTCAGAGCCACCAATGCCCCTAAATGCTCATTCTTCACCTCGGCTTCTCCAATCTTGTTCACCTTGTCTCTGCACATCTGAAGTAACAACCTGCTACTTTTTGAAGATTTGTAAAACGCAAATCTATAGCTGTCATTACTACTTTTTGAATTAACCAAAGCCCTTTATTCTTCTTGTTATTTTTTAATCAATAAAATTTCAACGTTATAGCCCTTTATTTTTGTTGAGTGTGAATTTTCTTTATAGTTCTTGTTAGACGCTGCTTTATTGTTTGAAATACTTTTGGTCTCAATTTTGATGCTAATAATGCATTTGGGTTGTTTTATCAAGCTTCAAGTATTGGTATGTTCTTTCTTTTTTTTTGATTGGCTTTGTGAGGGGTTTTAGTTGGATTTTTTTTTTTTTTGAAAATCTTTAGTTGCAAATGATATGAAATGGAGTGAAAGTAAGGAAACTCCACGCAATTTTTTGTATGGGTCTCTAAAAAGTAAGTTAAGTTTGACAATTTTGTAGTGTTTAGATAATTTTTTTTATTGTGTTCAAGTCTCAAGAGAGTTGGGGAAGCTTTTAGAACATACGAGGATTTTTTTTATTTTGATGATTTGTCAAAGTCTAATGTGCCAATGGATTCCAAACAACAAACGCTTTTCTAATAGTCTTGAAAGTCAAGGGGGTAAAGTCATTTTGAAACAAGAGGGGGGGGTTAGTGTACTTTCATTGAAGCAGAAGGGGGGTTCTTTTATTGTTTCACCCATTACTTTGACCATTGTCTATTTCAACATTTTGTTGATCATATCAATTTGTAAGCTGTTAATTGTGCCTATATAAGCTATATCATTTCATTTGTTTTGTTCTAGTTTGTTCCTCCTTTTTGCATGCATCTGCATGTGTTTACTAAAGCATAGCAATTTCCTTTTAATTGAATCAATTCACTTGCTTAAACACATGGTTCAGTTACTTTCACCCCAAGAAGCAGTAATGTCTGGCTGTTGTTATTTCTGAGGCAAGATGTGATATTAGTTCCACCATTTAGCCATGTATAAGAAGCATCTGAGATAAGAAGAATGCTAGAAATAGTAAACTGTCTAACAACTATTATGTATTGTTGATACAAATTTTGATCATGATTGAATTATCTTTACTACTTTGGACCTTTTTTTTCCTTGATCTAATGGTGTTATTAGGGTTCTTTCAATGATGACATGGAAGGTTTGGTGTTTGCTTTTTGGTCACATTCTCTACGTAATCTGGTGCTTATCCCTTTTAATTTATTTTCTAGTAGATTTCATTATGACATCATGTTTTTCTTTTAAATTCATTCTATTTTGGCAGCTTGTGGGAAGATACACTGGGGGTCATAAAAGATCAATTTCTTGTTTGATGACTTTCATGGCTTCTTCTGGTGAGGTAGGTCATAGTTTTCAAAGCAAAATCATACAACTATATATGTCTTTTGCTAATTCTTATTGTTCAAGAATAACAAATTTGCCCAACCATGAGCAATGCATGTGAGTTAATTATATTTTTATCATGATGTTAACATTTTTTATCATAAGGTTAATGTAATTCCCATCCTTGATTTGCATATTCATTTTTCAATAAATTTCAATGCAAGACAGCCTAAAAAGAAAATAAAAAGAATGATGATTTATGAATGAATAAATACATAGCTGATGAAATAATTTGTTTTGTCTTTTACATGGATTTGATAAATTCGGGTGCCACCCTAGTGTCGACATGACATGACATTGGTATAAGTATGAAATTTATGTCTGAGGTGGCACTAGAAATTCATACTTGATGTCTTTATGTAAGGTTATTTAAAAACCAGAGCTGAGATCATATGTGGAGATTGATGGAGACCAATGAGTCAATTTTTGTTGCTATGCCATTGTTGTTGATGAGAACTAGGCCTTTTAGCTTTTATCAACTAGTAGATTAGCTTCTAAAATTCCACATAGGTTAGGAGGGAAGAAGGGGGAGAGTTCGTTTGTCTGGCTACAGTTATGACTAGAAGAAAAAGAGGAAATTTATGGATTTTTTTAGTTTTTATCAAGTCGTAGCTTTGCTTTGAAAATCCCAAAGACATAGGTTAGGGGGGAAGAAAGGGGAGAATTCTTGTTTGTGGCTGCGGTTATGACTTTAGGGCATTTTTATATGCCAAGGGAATCACAACTTTTCTTTTAGTTCCAATTGGGCTTGAAAAAGGAGCTTATCTTGGAGCCTCAAGTTTTTGTTTATTGACATTGTGTTTAAGGAAGCGTAATGTCTTACTTTGGACTTAAAACCGAAATGGTTT